TACTGTAGTTTGTTCAGTCAAACATTTTATGGCTTACTATTTAGCTATCTTACCATGGCCGATGTAACATCGCAACCAAAAAAACTTGCCTAATTAGCCAAATCATTACTGTACCATGAATGCTTCTATCTCCAACACTCCACACAAAAAAATAACTCTTGCACGCCTTGCGTGCCTATGTTGTTGCACTGGCTTGGCCCAGAGTACCAGCTATGTGTACCTCGCAGTACAGGCATGAGGCACCTTGTGCCCGAGGCCCCTCATCGCCCATCCAGTCAGTGGGTCCTACCTTTCTAGTAATTTTCACCCACAAACAAGTTTGCTTTCTGTTTTCTTGCATGCGAGAACACTAATCCATTATCAAGTGCTAACCGTAAACAGGTTGCATATTCAGGCTAATTGGAGTGAGTCTGTACTCAGGTTAGCCTGATTAGTGCTCCTGTTACCTTGAATAGTGCTCCCATTTGCCAGAATATCACTCAGGTTAACCTGAATAATGCTCTGGTTAGCATGTTTACTGAAACCCCCAATAATGGAAATGGTAACATGATTCAGTTTAAGTCTACAGTCTGCTGTCTGCATTTTACCCTCAGGTTGCATTTTACCCCCGGTCTGCAGTCTGCAGTCTGCAGTCTTCATTTTACAATGGCCATGACATTACTATACTGATAAAGGGTGCCCACTTAATTAATCGGGGTTCACCTTACAGAGGTTCCCTTGTACAGATGCATGTGCTTGTAGCTTAGCTTGACTTTCTGTTTTATATAAGGAAAGAAGTACTGGTAAACACCATTTCCAAGGTTGAACCACGGGAGAATATGAGCCCTTAAAGTCTTGTTGTCTAATGTAGGTCAAATGCAGAAAGGACATTATAGGAATTTTTGAAGGTTGATATTCTCCCCCGTATGGTTCTAGAGTGAAGTGCAGTGAGAAGAGATTTGCATTCATGACCTTAAGATTTTAGAAAAGTTGATTAGATTTTATGTGGTCCTGAATGTTTACCCTTGTAAAATAAGGACCGGAGAGGTAATCCTATCTATGAACTTCTGATTAAAATAATGCAGAAATTTGAAAACAAAGAAGCTACACACACAAAAGTCAACAGAGATCTTATCTTTCTTCTATAAACTAATAAAACATGTTAGAGCACTCGACTAGTCATTGCCATTAAAAGCTTCAGTTCTTCTAGCCATGAGCGGCATGTTTATGGATAAACACACTGGGATTTCGTCTTCACTGCTTGTTTCGACATGCCGAACTTTTAAGATTGGCTTGTAATAAACATCAAAATTTTTACTAGATATGGCTCACAATAGTTTTAGAGCACCACTTGCTTCCACGGTCAACCTTGTAGAAGTTTATCTCAGGATCAGGCTTAATGCACTGTCAGCGGGATTTGCGTTTCGGCCACGAGAATGTGGAACTTCTTGGCGGAAATTTCTATGCAAGAATGATAGGGCTGGAAGAATTTAAGCTGGTACAATATGCTGATGACCTTACTCTGTTTGTACCTAATATTGAATGTGTAAAACTCATCCTTCAATTGCTTGATCGATTTACAATTTGTTCAGGCTTAAAGGATAATCATACTAAAACTGAGGTAATGTGGATCGGTTCATGCAGACAAAATACAGCGACACCTCTGGGGCTAAAGTGGAGCAAAAGTGTCAAA